GACAAATCTGACAAGAGATGCGATTATTGTACCTCTTCACAATGGGTTGAAATTTTATCACAAACAGTAGCTGAATGGCTACAAAGGTCTGTGGTAACATCTAGCATACATACTGTAGTTCAAACATGTAACATTCACAAAAGGATCTCTCTCTCTCTCTCTGGCTGGGTGATCAATGTTAATTTCTCACCTACTGGATGTATGAATCATCTTTGTAGGACCCATAATATGGAAGCTATTTTACCACTTCTTTTCACTTGTCTACAGTTGCCCATTCCATCATTTTCCATGATATAGTAACATTTCCATGTCTTGGGATGAGGTGATAAGTGAAACTTTCCCAACTTTTAACAACTTCCCCTTTTCAATTATTTTCTCATAAACCAAAAATAGCCTGATCAAATTATCCACTACTATTGAAATATACACAAAATCAAGACCTGGGATCCTTTCTCCCCTTCGTTGTTACTAACTATTGAACACGAAGTTTTCCTATCCACAAGAAGAGAATAAAAATTGTCAATTTCTTCTGTTTGGGGGGAGGGGGAACTAAACAGAAGGGTAAAGAATTCTAATTCTCCACATTAAATGAAATGCACAAATGGTATATATCATTTTCTTTGTGGTACAAAGACAAGTGTAGTGGAAGAGATCTTCTAGACCTAAAATGATAATGACCTAAACTGGAATGGTATATATCCTTTAATTTATGGTGTGAATCAAGTGTAATGGAAGAAATCTTCTAAACCTAAAATAGTAATGACTATTGATGAGGGCGGATTTGGCCCTCCAGTGACATCGTGGCATATGGCATCTTGGAACAGATGGATGACACCTAGACACCATCTAAGCAATGATTTGGAGTCCCAGATCGCAATTCATCTTTGCCCCAACCTGGCAACCTCGATCACAACTTAGGTCAGCTTGCAGCACCTCGTCTATGGCCAACCTGTAGCACCTCGTCACTGCCGAAGTGACCTTGACGTGAGATGCGACCTCCCTCGAGGGATTGCCGACCTAACTAAGGATCAGGCGTTGACCTGCGAGATGTGTTCACCGACAAATTCGGCATGCATATCCCAACACTACCAGGTTTCTCGAAAGTTAGCCCACATATTGGATATTTCAGACCGATTAGGCACGACCTCTCGGAAATCTCAGGTGTGGTGCATGAAACCCACACTAAACAATGCCTATATAAAGGCACCAACCCCAATGACACAAGACGTATGCACGGTTTGTGCATTCTATCTCTCCTTGTTCTCAAACTCTCAGCTCGCATTATTGACTTAAGCATCGGAGTGACCTCGCCAGGTTAGCCACCTCGGGTTCTCTGATACATCCATTTCTTTGTTGTTCGAGCGACCTAATTGGCGGCAGATCGCACACCATCAACTATCTTTAGGACTATATATCTTGAGAACATCATTTACACATCACATGGTGATAAATGTTGTGTAGATGAGAGAATTAAACTTGACTATATACCTTACTCTCGTAGAAAAAAAAATGCATGGTCACAGAAAATGTGAAGTCTCTAGATAAAAGGGAGTTGGATTCCCTTATGAATTGCACATTTGACATGTTGGTGTGATACCAAATTGGATTTTCTTTTCTCTAAAAATGGATATCCATATAATAATAGTAGTAGTAATCTCAAATTTTGAGTTTTTTTCTTCTGCTGCTGCTGTTCTTGTCATACTTAACTAGAAAGTTCTTCTAAACTAATAACATGTAAGGCCCTGTTTGGTTTGTGGCAATAAGGGTCTGGAATTGGAATTAGAATGGGCTACTCTGATTCCAACTGTTTGGTTGGGCAGAACCGAAATCCTATTCCCATTCCTGATGAAATGGCATTCCCCCATTTCCCTCCCTCGGGAATGAGATCCCATTCCTATTAATTCCAATTCTCATTCTTATTTCTGTCTGAACCAAACAAATTATGGGATTAGAATAAATCATTCTGATTCTGATTCCGATTCCAACTATCAACCAAATTTCACCCATTAAGCTACTAACGATATTTTCAGTCAACTCAGATCACAGATCTTTTTCTAGCTACACACAGACAGAAACTCCTCATACACAGATCAAATGAATGAGAAGCTGATCAGTTAAAGCCCCTAACTTTTTCCAGATCTTTCTGTGGAAGTGCTCGTAGGATGGCTTCCCTACAAAGAAAAAGACTATACATCAATTCATGATTTGATGCAAGAGGACAAATTTTGCCCATTATGTCATGTGCTCATTGAAACTCTAAATCACTTACCTTTCCAATGCTCTTTTTTCCCATGTAGTTTAATGTGTCCAAGTTGTATTTGCATTGGAACTGTATTAAGACAAAGCAACACATGTATGATGGAAGGTTGATTGAGAAACCTCAACTGTCACAGTATGCACATTTCATGAAAGTGCTTTGATGCATTAACAAAATCGTGTAGCTACAAGGGTGGTGATCTATCTTTTCTTATCAAAACAATTTTGTTGTATGTATCAACAGGAAATGACCTTTGTCAAACCACTGAAGCAATGATATTGGGTTCTTGGGCAGAATTCCAATTACATTGGGCTCGGGTTAGGGTTTGGGCCCATTGAAAATTTGATAAATTCCCAACCCAACCCTACCCAAATGGCAACTTATTGGCAATAATTCAAAGTTTCAAACGATACAAACAGTAATTGGACGACGTGCTTAATAATCTTGACCTTCTTTGGCCACCTAGTGGTAGATAAATCTATCACCAAAAGTAGGGCAGTAACATGGGCTGGATCAGGTTGAGCACTTGCCAAAATTTGAATGGGCCCAAAGCCCAATGCTATGTTAAATCTTCATGCAGTGTTAAATTAAAGTTTTATGTCATATTTTACAATAATAAAGAATGGTACATAAACATATATCATTAAAAATATTTATTGACCATCACTATATGATGCATGCACATCCAAATTGTAAGAGATAAAAATTAATAGGATAAAAAGTTTTACATATACTTTCATTTTGTAATAAAAAGAAATTATATTGAGTTGAAAAATCAAAAGTTCGTAACAATTCAGGTTATGACCATGTATATAAAATTGTTTCATCATAAGCTGTCTCTATAACCAACAACTAATGATTTGAAAGTAGAAGAAAAATACCCATCTAGCTAGCGCTTAATCCTCCGTGGTAGCAGCAACTCGTATTTAAAATAACAAAAAATAAATAAAAAACAGCATTTAATCTTGTAGAATTAAACATGAGGACATTAAATAAAATACATGACAAATGCAAATAATCATAATAATAATAATAATAAATACAAATATATGACTACCTAATGTAAAGATTAAAGATCAAAGCTTTAATGGATAAGCTTCCATGTTTGTACTTTCAAAGCTCTAATTACAGGCTATGTACTTTGGGGCTTGAAAGTGTTTTGGCCTCAGAAAGCAACCCTTACACCAAACTTTACAAAACATTTGCGGGCTCAATTTTGTTTTACAAAGCCCAAAGCTCAAAGGCAAAAGCTTATCCAAATAAAACCCAAGTCCAAGATGTTAGCTTGTATTGTAATAACTTTTTTTCTTTCCTTGTTAAAAGGGCTCAATACCTTATCAACATAGGTTAAGGACTTAAGGTCCTTGATTAACAAGTTTGAGCGTGACTAACATCTCTGCTCAACTTGGGGAAGTGTAGGTAGAGAATTTATTACAGTGAAGTTTAAATATAGGGGCATTCCTTTTCCTTCCTGCGTTCGATGCTGATGCCAGAAAAACTTGTTACCACAATAGCGAATGCGAGTTTACAGCGCTCCGTGGGGATCCAATTCAAGCCCATCAACTTAACCAATCAAGTGGTTATTTATCAAATCCAGGGGAGGAGTTGATAGGCCAAAGTCCTTCGGCGTGCTACCCCCGTCTTGTGTAGCACCTTTTATTTCCATCGAAAAATAAAAAGTCCTTCCGGTATCATGTTAGGTGCTAACCCAAGCCTCTTTTCTTGTAAATTTCTGTTATTTTCTCCTCTCTTTTGTCCTTTTTCCTTTTCCTTCAACATAATACAAACGGTATTCTTTACCATTATGAATGCAGTGGGAGATCTCGCTGTACAAATTTGAGCCCGAAAACTCTTGTAACATGGTCAGAAACTCAGAATAAACCTTCATTTTGAACGACTTCAATGCCAATGACCCAGTAGTTCAGTCAGCATCTCTCCGTTTGAGGCACAGGTTCAAAATCACAAAAAGGAAAAGAAGGAAAATATAGGACAAAAAAAAACCAGAAGACATCAATAAAGAAAATTTTGATTCTTTTCTTGTCACAATATCAAAGGCATACTGGCATAGATCTCCTTCACAAAATGGTAATGGTAGTTCTAGAGAGAAAAATAATAGTTTAAAGGTGGCGAATGCCAATGAATATCATGTACAGGAATGCTTGATGTAACCCTGTTACACTTCTATTTTGTACCATTACACCAAGCAATGGCCCCTCCTAGTTGTTATACATTTAACAATCAAAATATACCAGATATGCCATGAATTCTAAAAATTGTGCATTACATTACAAATTCTAAAAGCACCAAAAGAATTCCATAGAACACATGGGCAAAACCTTTCTTCTGGCCAACAAAGAAAGGAAAACAAAGAGTAAAAAAGAAAGGTCCTTCAAAGAAAAGATGATAAAGGAACCCAAATAACCGATGGTCAGTCAACTTCACAAAACAGGAATACCCTATAGAATATGGAACACCTTTAAGTCGCACTAGCATTCATCAAACTCAAAATACAAGAAAGGCATTTGCCAATCATACAGGTCAGGTCTCCAATCTTTAATGACATATGCTAATCTCCATATGACCCTTCTTCAAAACCAATGCATTATAGTTTTTTCTTACCTAATTTAGCATATGTTAGATCCTTGGAGAAAGAGAGCAATTTAAGCCATTTTTGGTCCAGCAGTTGTGATCATTGGAATAGACTTCATGACTGCACGAGTTTTGTTTTACCATAACAAATATCTCTTTTCTATCTGTACTTAGTATACTTTTTGGAAGATATTTGTGATACATTCTGAGCTGTACAGTCACTCAGTATAGGGATTTTATCCCTCTCATTATCAGAAATACAAATATACTTTACCTTCTTTCAAGAAAATTAATAAAATATCTCTTACCCCAGAAAGACCAAATATAACAAACAGTCGGCATCTATCAGACTCAGAATTAGCTTAGTACCATCTCCACTTGTAAGATACCAAATACTAATCTATCCCTTTGACTTGATTATAAGAGGAAGACGAGTCTATCAGATACAATCCCTCAAATATTTGTTTCCAAAGATTCTTCAATTCCTCTTCTACCAAGCTACATGTACATGGATGCTCGTCCAAAGCATTCAACCCCTGTTTCCAAAAGGATCAACTCCTACTTAGATTAGAGACTAAAACATCAGAAGGAAGGATCAAATGATCAATCAAGTAAAAGAACTGTTCCCATTGGTCTAAAGTTGCCTTGAAATGAAAAAGAGATGACTAGCCAATCTCTTCTGCCATTAACACAAGCATGAGGGGGCAATACTCTATCCATTATCATTCTTCATAGCTTATCACAAGTATGGTATTTATGAGGAAACTGCTAACTACAAACGGCTTTGTTTTGAGAGTGAAGAACCAATCTATGAATGAATGTGTGTGTGTGTGTGTGTGAGAGAGAGAGAGAGAGAGATCAACTCTTCAATCATAACACTTCTAAGGTATCCACTACACTTAATGTAAAACAAGCTCAATTAAATGAAAACACCTAACCTTTTTTTGGGTACAAAATTTCTAAGACATTTATTATTAAAGAATTAGTTCCTCACTAGCAGGAAAAGCACAGTAAGATTTATTTTGTTCACTCTATTTTGTTGTTATCACCGATTATCCATTTTCTCCAAGATCTGACTAAAAGCAAAATTAAATGTGTATAAAACTATCAAATTAAAACAGAACCTGTGTGTTATCAACTTAAAAACCAGTGCATACATTTTTCAATTGGTAAACGCAAACTTCATTGATTATGACAAAAGAATTACAACATTTACATGCCAGGCATCCCTCGATGTACGTTGCCATCAGCCACCTAATTATTCACATCACTTGTACTTATAACTGTCTACAGAGAAGAAAAAACATCTAGCCCTATTGACCCCCAGCTTGGCTAGATCAGCCACCAAAGTAGCTGATCTTGGAACCCAAGTAAAATTGATTGCCATCTTCCAAACTTCCAAGTTCCCCCATTGCTTATCTACACAGGCACAATTCTACACTGCTTCCTGTAAGCCAACCCACCACCACTTTTCAATAGGGGTGCAAGTTCAGCCGGGTTAGCCCAATCCAGGTTGTTGAACCAATCCTAACCCCTAGGGCTTGACGAATTTCTTCACTTATTTTTTTTCATAAAAAAAATGTTCTCACTTCTTGGATTAGGATAACTAGCTTTAGCACAGACATATGTGTGGGGAACTGGGGATAAAGCTATGGTGCTTTAGGAGTATTAACGTTACTCTAAGAAATACTTGCCTTTAAGATTAAAACCATTGATACATAACAGTGTGAACCTAGACAAAGAATACATCTCAAAACCCCTATAGTAAGAATCACCAACTTTAATCAAACGAAGTAATCTTACACTAATAAACTCAACTAGACAGAACCTAGTCCTCGATTAATTATGAGTCCACATATATTTTATCACTTAAATTTTTTTTTCTTTGAAAGTGATGACTGAAGTTTATGAGCTCATAACATAAAAGACAAATAAATAAATAAGCATGAATGGCCATCTTATTAACATGTACAACCCATTAAATCAGTAAAGCATGCACCCAACCACAGATTCAGAACTCGTTCTATGTGATAAACAATTCCTATTTTATTTGACCTAGCAATCACGCTAAAATTGCTGCATCAACTACCAAATCATTTCATTTCAACCAAGAAACTCTAAGTCCATAAGAACTCGTATGCATACTAGTAATCTTAACACTGCAATTTACATAGTACTAAACAAAAATAAATTAATATTAACGAAAACAATCATAACAACTAAAAACAAAGTAATAAATTATGTTTAAATTCTCTCATCAATGAGTATCAACAAAAATCCTTCAAACTAGTGAGTAAAAATCCAAAAATCAGCAAAGTTTTATAGACTATGACTATACTACATGTTCGGAAAATCAAATTAATAAAAAAACAGAAAAAGACAGCATTTTCGTTAAATAGGTTACACCATATACTGTTGAGATGAACAAACCGAGAGAAGAAGGTCTTCAAATTGGTATCAACTGCTATAAGTACCAAAAAAAATCTTCATTGATGCTCGATCTCAATGACGCTCTTAACACTCGGCGCGTATAATGAATAAACGACAGCCTGTCTTCTGGCCACTTCGAGTTGAGATTTCCCATCAGAAAAAACTGATGAAATCGTCGAAGCATCCGCTAGGTCGCGGTTTTGACGGAAGGCGTCGATCGTTCTCCGCTTAGTGTATTCTCTGATATTGTAATCGGGAAATTGCCGAGCAACTCGTAATAGAGAACGGAAGAGAGAGAAAGCTTCGGCTCTCGAAAAGCCTGAAGCTGCTGTCGTCATTGCAATTACAGAGCTTTGGTACAGTATAGAACAGCGGGCTGGATTGACGCAAAAATAATTTGTTGTGGAAAGGTGAGGGCGTGAAGATGAGAAAAGAATGGAGCAATTGCATCGGAGTCCTTTTATCTTTTATAAATTATTCATATAAGCATTGATAGACTGTGGAAATGAATCGGGGCATGACCCGATTCGAGCTCCGATCCTGTTTGTCGAATTCGGATCGCCCATATGGTCATATTCGGTTCGGATTGGATAATGGATCCGATCAGAAATGGATCGGATTCGAATCGCCCCTATCTGATTCGATATATATTATAAATATAAATATATAATGTATATATGTTATTAATTTTTTATATTATATTTTTATAAATTTGTTATATTATTTATTTTTTATAAAAAAATATGTATAAATATGATGAAAATAATTAAAAAATACTTGTATTTTTTGTTTTTATTTTATTTAAATTAGTATATTTTATTTTTATTTTAAGAATTTATTAATTTTTAAAGAAAATAAATCGGATCATATCAGACTTATCGATAGGATTCAAATTCAAATCAAGTCCTATGATATCCGATCAAATCCGACATAAACAATATCGGATCGGATTTGAATATACTGATCCGTTTTGCATCCCCACAGATACTAGTCGGATACCATACCAATAAGCACTTGTGTGTTGTTTGTAAATAACTAATAAGTGATTATTCATGCTTTCCTCTAAAAAAGTGCTTATTCATACATACTCGAAGGGAAAAACAAAAAAGTGATTTTATTTTTAAACACTTATTGCTTTCTAACCCATTTTAACCCACCACTTAATTTTTAAAATACCTATATTACCATGTCTTAAAGATGAAAACGTCTGTTATAAAGTGGCAAGCAGCAACCCGAGTGAAATGTGAACATTTGATGCGTTGAATTTATTGCAAAACGCTGCTGTTTGCAATTTCACAGGAGGTCGCTGAATTATTCAGGTAATGCCAACTCGTTTGAAGAAAAGCAAATTTTCACGAAACAATGACAAGTATTTATTTGAAGGGTTAAATACTTAAAAGTATTACTATGGTTTAGCAAATGTATAAAAACTTGGCAGTTCGAAAAATTATTTATGGTGCCCTTAAGTTTTTTGATAATGGACAATGCCGGTTAAATGTTAATGGAAAAAAGCGAAATTTTAAATTTATTCTTCATTATTTTTAAAATTTTTAAAATAAAATCTGATTGATAAAAAAATTCAAAAACCATAAAAGAGTGTTAAGGAAGAAAGCCCACTAAATTTATATCAATATTAGAGTTTAAAATCCCTATTAGGGATGGCAATTTTCCCCATTTCCTCGATCCCCGTGGGGATCCACCTCAAATGGGGCGGGGATGGGGATGATTTTCACCCTGCCCCACGAGGACTCCGATACTCGCCCCATGGGATCCCCACTAATATATATGTATATATGTATGCATACGTTATATATGTATATATGTATACATATGTCTATATATTAATATTTTTAAAAATATGGTTGAATATGTTTGAATCTTTTCTAATAGGCTTGTAAATTTTAAATATTTCATTCTTATTTAAAAACAAAAAAAAATAAAATAGTTAACGTTATAAAAAATTATGGGGAATGGGGATCTCTGTATGGGGATGGGGATAACCTTATCCCCGTTAGCAGGGACGGGGATGGGGATTTTCGTGGGGGCAGGGATGGGGAGCCCCATTGCCATTCCTAATCCCTAGAGGGCAAGCTTGAGCTTCCATTAATGGTGGTTATAGAAGCTCTACCATGTAATACACTTATGCCAAGGTGGGATTTCTCATCTAAAATCTTCAGCTCAAGAAGAATGAAGACCTAAACATCGGTCTTATTTTAGGCCCCATTTGTTTTTCGGTAAGTCATTTACCTAGGTAAGTGCACATACCCGAATAAGTGTTTTTTAGGAAAGATTTACCCGGATAAGTGTATTTACCCATGTTCTTTTATTTCCCAAGTAAACAACGCAATTAATGTCCATTTTAGCCATAAAATTTCATTATTAAAGGGGCATTTTTCCCATTCAAGTGTTAGTGACTTTCCCCCCAAGTGGAAAAGTTATTTATCCACCTAGGAGATGGGTATCACTTACCTGGGTAAATATGATACCAGGAAAATAAACTTTCCATAGTCCCCACATAAATCTGAAAAAAGAACATGGGTTTCTTGGGCAATGGAAATCAAAATCTCATCGACCAACTTTCTCCCTCTAAAAATCTAAACAAAAAACGCCCCCTTAATAAGAAAACAAAAAATGAGATGTAGACCTCTATTACCCATGGATTAGACTTGAATCTTTGTAAGGTGATAGAAATGTGTGGGATTTCCCTGATTAGTTGGGCTATTTTTGGTTTGATAGAAATAGAAGGTTGAGGGAGCTCCTCAATCAAAAAGGAGCTTCTTCTCATCCTCATCGACTCCCAAAATCCATATATGATTTCATCTTTTCACTTAAAAAATAAAGTAATAAAATCCTTATAATCTACCATAATTTCCTTTTAATCTATGTATGTAGGCTGTGTATGTTACTTCGCTAGTAAGAAAGAAAAGTTAGGAATCATTCCCTCACAAGGAGAGAAACATTAATGGAGGATATATGTTGGAATCCAATAACAGTTCATGGTACAAGATGATCAATTAAGTGGCAATAGGATAACTAGCCATTACCTCTTTCAAAGGTCATAGTTTTCCATACATACATCTAAATTATGTAGAACCAACGCGTGTCCCTACACTAAATCAAAGAACACCTGAAAATTGGAATTTGGAAATCTAGAAACAAAGCAAGAAAGAAATGGCATTCAGTTGGTTTCACTTGTTTCATTCTTTCTCTTGGTTATATCCAAGGCTGTGTTTAGTTTAAAGGAAAAAGTAGGGAAAGGAAAGGAAAGGTAGGGAAACCTTTACAAACCTTGTATGGGTTTTCTTTCTTTTTCCTACCTTTTCCTTCAAACCAAACATAGCCTTACTTTCTTCTTCGGAAATAATATAAATACATACAAAATAATATAAAATGAAAGGTTTTATACTCTATAAATTTGTATTTGTACTCCTTCCAAACTGAGCCTCTAGTATAAATACAAATTTGTAGAGTACAAAACCTTGCATTTTATATTATTTTGTATGTATTTGTACTATACATATTTGTATTTATACTCCTTCCAAACTGAGCCTAAAGTGCAAACCATCTCATATGAATCATATTTTGAAACACCATGTGATGGATTTCAGTAAGCCCAAACTTGCTGCAAAAATTCAAAGTGTAAGAGGTATTTAGCAAGGGGAAATCAATAGGAAAGCTTTTTTTTCAGGTGACAGGTCATTAGTTCAAGCATTCCAAATTGAAAGGGTTAGGCTAGAAAGATTTGAGGCCATAATATTACATCCAACAATTGATCGGGTCATTAGCTACCTCAGAGTCATAGATTATTGACTCTCTCTCTCTCTCTCATTTTAAATTGAATTTTGCAAGTCTTAATTTTTTCAAATCATGACCCACGAATGGTTTGAATGATTTGTTGCATTCTGTAAGTTTTCGTTGTAACGAGGAGAGGTGTGGGAGATAAAAATAAAAAGAGGAATCATGGTTTTCAAAATCGGATCGGACCGAAAAAATCGGGAATCTGTCAGGTTCTATTTTTCCTAAAAACCGGATTTCTCCTTAAAATCGTTGATTTTGGTCAGTGAATCGTTGAATTGGGTGGTTAACCGTTCGAACCCTTTAAACAGTTTTGACCATTTTTATTTTTTTGAAAATTTTTTTAATTTTTTTTTATTTTCTTGTTAGAATGGGCTAAGCATTCAGTTCAAACGGTCAGACCGTTCGACCCAATAACAAAACCCCTGGTCGGTTCGATCACCGGATCGATTTTAAAAACCATGAGAGGAATTACCATTGAGTTTATTTTAAAAATTTTAAAAACAATAAAGGGTAAAAGTGACTGCAAAAGAACAATGAAGGAAGATGTTCCCAATGTGCGGTTCTCCATAGTAATGTCCCATACTAGTAATAAAATATATGGGGACTAGAGTGAGAGGTCTGTACTAAATTAAATGATTAATTTATCGTTAGTACATATATGATGGTATAATGACTTTTTCTTATGTAATAATTATTAATTATGATAATAATTAGTAATTATTAAAATTAATAATTTCTGTTTTATTTTGCCCATTGATTTCACTTCCCATTATAATGTTATAGATCCATGCCATGCATCATAAAAATAATTTGACTTAAAACAAAAATGATTTGGGCACACCACGGGCAGATTTTATTTGATATGGCGACGCCACATTTTGCATGCCTCAATGTGCATGGGTTATTGATGGAAACTTTCAAATTTCATTATTTCTTTCTTTCTCCTCCCGTGGCACCTGACCTGCTGAGTACTGACCACATCCCACCAATGTAGCTCTTTCCTTTCTCTTATTCCTTTCTACCTTTAATTCTCTTCTCCTTTTGCCATCACCATCTCATTCTCACCACCGTTTTTCTCACTTAACATCGGAATATCACCAATCCGCAGATTATCCCCTCTTATACCGTCGTCATCCTTCCTAAACTTGGAAGTTGGAAGCTCAAAACCCCCTATCTTATACTTACGCTCAACCGATTACTCTAAGCACCCAAATAGAACAATCAATGTGTTGTAGTTAAGCGTTGCAACGCCATTTGAGTGAGCTCATTGAAAATCATTACTACAAATTGAACATTGCTCATTACATGATCGAAGAGTAGGCTCTACCTCACTTTATATTTTTTTATAATTCTTCATATTTTTCCTAGTTTTTCTTTTTTTGTTCTTCTCTTCTATTTTTTTTTATTACTTCTCTTTTAGAGTTTGGTGTTTGTTGTGATGCAATCTGAGAAATCAAGTGTGGTTGTCGTGTGCCTGTCTATCTCATATCTACCTCTTTTTTTGGTAAAACTAGCAAGAATAGTTCATTAAAAGAAAACAAACAGCGAGTACAAAAAGTAAAACAGTTAAGGTCTAATTAAGTCTTGATTGGTCAATTTTTGGATCCATCCAGGTGGATCTTGGACAAACAA